CCCAGCGCGGTTACGCCCCTCGTGCCGCCGCGTTCCCCTCGGCTCCCGAAGTCCCAGCTAGCCTAGCCCGGCGCGCACCGAGGAGCTGCGGGCCCGGAGCAGCCGCCGCCCGACCCGGCCAAAAGCAGCGAGGTAAGAGCCGGGCCCTGAGAGCGCCCGCGCGCCGCTCGGATCCCTGGGGACCCGGGATGGGGGGTGGGGAGGACACCTACGCAAGACCCGGACCGTGACGGAGGACACGGCTCCCAGATGTCAGGGTGCAGCGGAGGACAGGGTGAGGGGTGGGGGCTGCTCGGTGGACTCGATGGGAGCGTCTGAGTTCCTCTTGGGCTCCTGTCCAGGTTACCCAGTGGCCCTCCGCCCGCGCGCTGGGGCCGCTGTTCCTGGGGTCGCCGAGCCGCTGGCGCGGGCGGGGAGTGCTGGCTGGACTCGCTTTTGTTTGCCGCGGCGCCGCGGGCGCGGCCGGGGAGTGCTGGCTGGACTCGCTTTTGTTTTAAAAGGAAACGTGGGCCTGGTGCGCGCGCGTGTGTGTGTGTGTGTGTGTGTGTGTGTGTGTGTGTAGGGGGACGGTTCTGCCCGTGTGAATCCCGGCGAACTGGATTGCGAGAAAGGGACTGAGGGCGCAGGAGAGGGTGTCCACGATGGCCCTGGCGCCTGGGTTTGGGGTTGACTTACTGGAGCGGCGCCCAGCGCCCAAAGCACCTGGAAGGCTGTGGCTCCCGGTTAAAGTGCTAGGCGCGGGGTCCTCCGGTCACCTGCTCCATCACGTCCAGGGCCCTTACCGGGCACTTGGGTCCTGCCGGGGTAGCAGAGGGAACCTGTCGGGAATGGGGCTCTTGGAGGTGCTGGGCTCTTTTTATTTTCTCATTCTTCTAGCATTCGAATTCCAACGAGGGGGGAACCGTGAGCGTTCGCGTATTTCGGCTGTTTCCTTACATTTTTTTTAAGCGCTTGGGACTTTTTATGTTAGCCTGTACTCAATTTCAGGGTGGCCTAAAATAGTAGACGACGTGCTACTTTATTTAGAAAGTAAGGGCGTGAGCGGTCCCTTTTGGAGATAAGAGTAATTTTATTTTAATTTACCAGCCAGAGATTGTTCCATACAGTGGCAACGCCTGTGTTATCTGCCTGCTCATACCACCGCCAATCAGGGAGATAAATCTTCATATTAAGGTTTATTAAAATTCTGAGTAATATCACAGTACAGTGAATGTTAGCACCCTGCATCCCGCAGGGAAATATCCAAGTGCTTAATTCTGGCATTAGTCATTCATCTCCCCACACTGATCTCTTTCAAAGAGAAAAAGCAACTCAGCCTTCGAAACCTTAGAAAGTGTGTTTTAGGTTTTATTTCTGGTTTAGATTTTCAGATTTACCCAAATACAAGCCTGTGCTCTAATCTTACATAAGTGATTACTTGTTCCAATAAGGGTACTGTTGGCAGGCAAATTCTCCTTGCTTTAAAATTTAACCCATTATCAGCCCTTTCCTTCCATGTTTCCTTTAAAAAAATTTTTTTTTTGTTCAAAAGCAGCAATCAATCTGGCAACACCAAAAAGAACTAAACTTGAAATTGATTTATAGAGAGAAACTGGGCCGGTCTACCACCTTAATAAGCTGTGTGGAGTAAAGTAAGTGAACTTAAATTTGATTAGTTGTGTGTCTGCCTGAAACCATTTAGCAGAGCACTTTAATTCTACTTGGTTTTGTACAAAACTCATTTAAAAGCTGGACAACAAAAGAATTCTCTTCTGTAGCTAGTAATTATAGCCCTTTATGTGGGAGTGGTAGACTGCCTTTTCTCTAGATATTTGTACACAAAAGCCAGGCAAAGCTTTTCCCTTGCCTTCCACATCCTATCCTCTGTCCATCTCAGAAAAGCTGAAACTCGGTATACAGTCCGTGAGCAGACGGCACCCAGCATGGCTGGCATTTTGGCCTTCTGGGTGAGGTTTGTTTAATCCACAGGTAACAGGACTCATTTAATCAGATAGATGACATAAAGCTATAAATTAAGGAACATTGAACATGTGAGGAATAGTAAGAAGGGCCTAGTCTGTGCTTTTCTGCTCTCAGCATTGGGGTGGGGGGGTGTCCATTTCTCCTTATTCACCAGGATTTAGGATCATTCCCAGCTGAGATCTTACCTCCATTTTCCCCTGATGGCCCTCCTGTGGCCCATCGTGGTAGTTTGTGTGATTCTGTAAAGTTGGTTATCCTTGTTGCTGGGCTTGGTTGCCTCACTGTGAGGTGGTAGAGCATCTACTTCTCAGGTGTAGACCCTGCCCAGGCCTAGCCCTTTGTGATGGGCATTCTAGACAGCGATCCTATCTAGAATGGTTGAACATTGATTCTTGAGTGCACATGGGCAATATAATCAAGTGGAGATTCAGAGCAGACATGGCCCCTTCGATCTGGGATAGCCTCTCCCAACTTCCAGTAGGGCTAGTTCTAAATCACCAGTGGCCAGCAGCCTGTGTTGGCACCACGGTCATGACCTGTACTGGGAAGGCCTGACCAGCTCTTTATAAGGCCTCTTGCCTCCTGCTGCCCTGTTAGCCAAGGAGGGTGTGTATATGTGTGTGTGGGTGAGCGTGTGTGCATGTGTGTGTTGCGTGGTGGGGTTATTGAGAGGCCCACTTAGCCATAATGTTGACCAGAAGAGGAAAGAAAGCACAAATGCAAATTAAATAATTGTATGAGGGTATGCTGTTTGACACCTCTAGTAAGTGATCTTTTGAACCATATTGTAATTACTTGGAAGTTCTTGACTGTTTTGTTTACAGGTGGGAATACCCAGTGTCAAACATGGGGATGGGCAGTTAGATGTACTCCCATCAAGTTTTCTTGTAGACCTTCAGTTCCATAGTCATGACACAGGGAAGGTGAGGAATGGCCCTTGAGGTCAGGGCTCATCAGTACTAACCCAGGTGATTTGAAGAGTGTAGTTACCCTTTTTTTTTTTTTTAAATTGAACTGTTCGGTAGTATTATTAAACTACTTTTCTTACGAATATGTGACTTATCTGGCTAATTTTGCATTGTAGGCACCCAAATAAATTTGTCTATGATAACACTGTCCAGTTGTGAGGTACATCATGATGCTAAATTTTATAATAACCATGGTTACAACAGTAAACAGGTGAAATCAATTTCAATATATTTTCAATTAGCCTAATATACTCAAAATGTTATATAAGTATACGGTAAATATACAGTTAAGATGCTTCACTTTTTTTCTACCAAGTCTTTGAAATTTAGTATATATTTTACATTTAGAGCACATCTCTGGTCATACTGGCCACAGGCCGAATGCTTGGTGGCTATGGCTGGCTGGTGGCTACCATAGTGCTTAGCATGGGACCAGTACATGTCCAGATTTTCACAGCACGTAAAGCTGATCTGTACTTTCTTTCCTGAAGAGATTCACAGCTGAGCAACACACAAAGCCAGAAATACTTTGAGTTCAGTGGTATCCAAAGCAAGAAGATCTGGGTTAACTTAAGAGTGTTTTGGTTTTTCATCGATTCTCCCTTTTACCCCTCCCTTAAGCAATTGCTTCTTTTCAACTGAAGGAAGTGGGGTGTCTCTGGGACGCCTGCCAGAGCAGGTAACCCCTGAAGCTGCCCTAGCCTTCCCAGATAGAAATTGACTTTTCCTATGCAGACAGGAAGTGCCCCACTGCCCCACCTGGCACCCTCAAGCCTGCACCCTGACCTAACCATGGGGATGTCAGTGAAAAGCCCTACACTGTCCTCCTTCTCAGCTAACTCAGCACAGCGGCTGTGACTAGCCAACCAAAGAAGGACTCTGTGGGAAATGAGTTCTGCCAAGAAAGACTTTTAAATAAACTAGGAATACTACTGAGCCATAAAAAAAAAAATGAGACCCTAGCATTTGAATGAAAGTGGATAATATAGAAGATTTAATACTAAGTGAAGCAAGCCAGACTATGAAAGAGGAGGCATTGTATGTCTCCACTTAATATATCCTGAATGTCTGCACTCTATAGCAGAAATTGAAAAATTAGTAGGTATGAAAGCATGGAGAGCAACTGTATACTAGAGACAGTGTGGAAGGGGGGTGGGCTACAGGGGGGGGAGTAGGGAGGAACTACTATTCAAAGGGGAAGAAAGCAAAGCATTGAATAAACACAAAAATGGAAAATTAATGTGTATGGTAATATCCTTGGACTAATATGCAGTGTGTAGTATATTCATGCTGGAAAAATAATTTTATATGCTCTAAAGATGTACAGTGATTAAATGTAAAATAATAAGAAAATTAAAAAAAAAAAGAATCCCAGGTATTCAGTTTGAATTACCTATTATCTAGAAGGTCACCCGAATCTAGTCTTGATCCTACCCTTGAGAACTTCTTGATCTGTGACGCTTGTATTTGTACTTAATCTGTGGCCTCGTTGACTCTATTTTGTTTTGTTTTGTTTCTTTTTAAAGATGAATGATTTTGGAATCAAGAATATGGACCAGGTGGCCCCTGTGGCCAACAGTTACAGAGGGACACTCAAGGTGAGTGACCAAGCCTTAATTAGGATTTTTTTTTAAAAAATTAAAATATTCCATTTTAGGAGAATAAACAATGAACTGAGTTCCAGAAGACTGGATCTAGCCCTACCTTTTAATTTACATGTGGCGTGACTCTCAACCGTTTGTTTACTCTTTCTTAGCCTCAGTTTTCTGTTCTATAAAATGAGTATCATTGATGCTTGGTCTACTTGTCCTCCAAGATATGAAACCATTTAATTTGTAGATAGTGAGGCTTTTCTAGTTTATTTCTAAGATGCCATACACATGGAAAATTCTATGTTTCTCAGTAAAACACCTGAAGAAGCCATCTACCCACCCAAGACTGTCCTTGGATAATGGGAAGTATGTTTAAGGACTATGATGGAAACACTTAGGAGAGGCAGATTGCCCTAGCTGCTGCTGTTTCCCTCAGAAAGGCAGAAAGACAGCCTCTTCTTACTGGTGTAGATAACAAGTAGGCCCATGTATGTAAACCACAAAACAGATTGAGGATGAGAAAGCCGCCTCTGCTGCATAAACACTTTCATAAGTCCTCCTGGGAACATTCTCTAGTAGCACAAACTGGTCATTTCTCATTTGCCTTCTTCACATGTGACAGCAAAATTTGATTGTTTTTTAGTATTATGTAGTCAACATGCTTCAGAGGCAATAATTTATAGATTGCCCTCTTCCCAGCTCATTATCTTGCGTAAAGATGTGCTGTCTCTGGCATGTCATGTTTTCTTTGTAATCCTTATTGAGGTTATTTGTCTGATAAGCCCAAAGACGCCCTTCTGAGAGTATTAGAAAGATCCTCAAACTTCAGGGAGTGAGTTTTCATGCTAGATTTGATCAGATTTTTTAAGTGTGGTAAAAATGACATAATAAATTATGGTTAACTTGAAACCATACCTATAAGAAAAGTTCTTTTGTGAATTAAAGGAATTTGATAATGCTCATGTAATTTTATTGCTGAAATTGAGGTATTGAAATATCAAGCATGAGGCCAGCCAGTGGCCTGTTGGTTAAGGTGACTGGATCCCAAATAGCTGACCACAGTTTAAATCTCATAACCAGCAGTGTGAGAAACACACCGGGTGCCTGTGTGTGCATGCCCAAAATCCTAAAAGAAGAAGTGGAGAAGGGATTGTGTGACCATCCTTCATGGGGATGCTTTCTCACTTTCTCTCTCTCTCTCTCACTCTCTCTCTGCCTATCTCTTTTCAGCAAGTTCACATACCTTCTGGTAAATTTAAAAAGAAAAGAAAGAAATACCAAGCATCAAAACATGAATTTATATTGTTCTTTTGTTTCCTGATTTGAAAAAAAGAGCTTACAGTCAGGGAATGCATATCTTAGTTGCCTAGGCAGTACTAGGGGGAATTTTTAAAAACTTATTGCACATTTCACTGAAATGAAATCTGCTTTAAAGCAGTCAATAAACCAGAGGAGCATTTTGCACTCCGCTTAATTGGTGGCCCCTTGGGTCTCAGACAGTTGGACCTCACTGTCTTGGATGTTTGAGATTAGGTTCCAACTTCTGCCTGTGCTCTTTTGTGATGCATCATTAATCGTTCTACATTTCTAAAAAGAAAGCTCACAAACTGATTTCATTTGTAAATGTGTTACAGATTTTTTTGTTGATGACTCAATACATGGGTCATTGTATTACACATAAAATGGGATTTCCAGCTTATGTTGGAAAAATATAACCTTTCTTCACGTTTTCCTCTAGTTAGTCAATGATGACTCAAGACTTTGTTACTATAAACGAGTCCCATATTTAAGGCTATTTCTTTCATATATGTTATGGAAGAGAATCAGAAATCATCACATCTTCTTTTTCCTAAACTGTAGCTCATTTCATTTGACTTCAAGCCTACTTTCTTTAGCAGTCTCTCCTCCTTAGTAGATGATTTATTTAGAGAGTTCCTTTTTAATACACGTTACTTATGTAAAATGAAACTTTAAGGAATTTTCTCATACTATAGTCTTCTGAACCACTGAAATTGATGAGGAAAAGCATCTCTAGTTTCAGTTAAGTTATTTTATGGTAAATATTTCAAAATATATATTTTCAAATGTAGTTTATTTCATTGTTTGTTTTTTTCAATTAGTCATTTGCTTTTTGTTTTAACTGCATTATGCCGAAATTGTCTTGCCAAGGGTCATTTTCTTATACAAGAGAACTTTAAACAGCTCATAGAAAATGGAATTAAGATAAAAGTTTATTTTGGTGCAAAACATTTTTTAAAATCTTTGGATAGCTTTTCTATAAATATGCATTATCCATGATTCTTTTTTTTTTTCCATGAGTTTTTTAAATTGCCAGCTAGTGGATGAGCTCACCAGAGAAAAATAGAAAGAGTAAAAGCATCCTCAATGGGATATGATCATACCATAATCCCTTCTTCTCCATTTCTCCATCCTGTCAGGATTTAAGGGATGCACACATGTACGCCCAGCCTGTTTTTCAAGCATCTGAGGCTGGGATTCAAACATGGTCAGCCTTGTGGGATATGGTTCTCTTAACCAGTAGGCTACAGGGCCAGCTCTTCATGAGCTTTTTGAAGACCCCCCTCATATACACAGCATAATTACATTTTTCTTCAATGTAGTAGGTGGTCCAGGTGTTTGATTCCTCTTAGTACTGGGATTCCTCTCAGCACTGTTCTAAGTTTTTATTTTAGATTTGTTTGTTTATTTATTTATAGGTTTTTGCCATTGGGCAGAGACAGAGAGGGAAAGTGAGAAATTACCTCTGAGAGGGGATGGCCACATTGCAGTTCCTTCTCTGTTTTCCTCTCAGAATTTTGAGCATGCATGCATGTGCACCCTGTGTGATTTTCAAACCGCCCAGTCCAGAACTCAAACTGCAACTGTCTATGTGGGAATCCATCACCTAAGCAACCATATCGCTTGTTGGCCCCTGTTTATTCATTTTATTAATTTGAGCTGATTAGACCACTAAAACTAACTCCTAATGATTCTGGCTGTAAGACCAATTAAATAATCCATGGTAAAATAGAACCATTTCAGTCACTTTGACCATCTTTGAAGACTTATTTTGATGCTTAGTGGTTGATTCCATACGTCACTTTATTTATTTTTTAATTTTGTTTATTCATTCATTTTATTTTAATTTGACCATAGAGACACAGAGAGAAAGGGGGGAAGTGAGACAGCCAGCCACCACGCCCAGGACATGAACCATGGTCAGCCATGTGGGAGTGTCCAGCAACTTAACCACTGCACCACCTGATGGTCCCGTCCATATGTCACTTTATAATGATCAGTTTAATCAAGGTCTATCAGTAAGATGACTGGTGGACCTCTTTTAAAGTGGGTAATTAAGTAAGTTTAGTATAACATTTCAGGTTTTTTTTCCATCTGTTTTTACAGCGCCAGCCAGCCTTTGACACTTTTGATGGGTCCCTGTTTGCTGTGTTCCCGTCACTAAATGAAGAGCAAACACTCCAAGAAGTGCCAACGGGCTTGGATTCAATTTCTCATGGTAATTTGTTCTTCAGACTTGACAAATTGTGCATAATTTCCCTTCCTAGTTCAGTTAATAAAGAGATGACAGTTCATAAGCAACGAATGTGGATATCTTGACTGTGATACAAAAAATCAGACAGAAACATTGGACCAGGGAGAAGGAGGTTTCCTTTTGTATGAACTGGGTGATTCTAATATCGTCATGTGCCAGATTGATGCCAAAGGGCTGCTGTTAGTAAACCCCAGACAATTTCTGGAACCCCAGAGAGTTTCTGAATGTTTCAACACTAGCAAGCATGTCTTCTTCTCCGTAGACTTTTACTATGCAAAACAGACATAATACAGTGGCTATTAAAATGAACCCCAAGCAGCTTTATTCTGGGTTTGCATCATTAGTTAAATCATTCCTCTTCTTGAGTTTTGGGGTCATAAATCATTCTTGATTCTGTGGCTTTACTCATCTGTAGTTGTTTCTATAATTCCTTATGTCATCATTGTTTTAAAGGAATAGCACATCAAATATTGTCTCTGCAATTTCTGTGCTGGAGTTATTAGCTAGAAACGTATCAGAGATTGCATTGTCATATGAAGTAGATGCTAGCAAATACAGCCCAAAAAATTAATTAAAACTCGTATTCTTGCGTAAGCATAAGATCGTGTGACAGTGATTTATTGCTCTTAAAATTGCCAAGGGTATCCAAATAAGGTTGCTTTTCAGAAAACTGAAGGTGTGTCTGCTTTTTAGCGTTAGGTGCTATATGTTCATATCCTGCTCAGATCTCTACTTTTTAGTATAATGGACAAAACTTACAAATTGTGCACTTCTAATTAATTCAGCCTTTTGACTCAGTGTAATGTTTTTCATTGTCAAAAATTTTAAAAATTGTTTGTGGTAGAAAACTTGCCTATGTATAACTGCTTTAAGAAACTTGGCAAATGGAATAAAATTTGACTTTTTTAGTTATTGTAGTTTTTCTTTTTAAAGAATGTTTTACTTTTATTTATTATTATTTTAAAGAATTATTTATTTATTTATGTAATTCCACTTGTTGTTATTATTTTTTAATTTGACCAGAGAGAGAGAAATGGAAAGTGAGAAAGCATGTCACGTGGCCTGGGACTCAAACCATAGTCAGCCATGTGGGAATCCAGGGCCTTTAACCACCTGTTAGCCCCAATTTATTATTATTATTATTATTATTATTATTATTTAATTTGCCATAGGGCACATGCACTCACCAGAAAAAGGGAGAGAGAAAGAGAAAACAAGTTGAGGGATCTGGGACTCGAACCACAGTTGACCATGTGGGAGTCCAGTGCCTTAACCACTATGGCCTCTTGTAGTATTTTTTCTTTTCTTTCTTTCTCTCTCTTTTTTTTTTTTTTTTTTAAGCATGGCTCTGAGAAATAATATATTTTCTCAATTTTAGTCAAAAAGGTTTTTTTGTTACTATTTATACTCCTTTAAGGAACCATGTCAAGGATTGGGATCAGAACTGTTCTTTCCTGAACTGTTCAATCCTGTTCACGTAGGATTGCCAACTTGAAGTCCACTGATATCCTTGTGGGTTTCTTTCTAGATTCAGCCAACTGTGAATTGCCATTGTTAACACCGTGCAGCAAGGCTGTGATGAGTCAAGCCTTAAAAGCCACCTTCAGTGGGTTCAAAAAGGAGCAGCGCCGTCTTGGCATCCCAAAGAGTAAGTGCCGCTCTTCTGAGTCAACGTGGGCCGGATCAACTGAATTGGACTGTGACTATCTGGTCTTGACTTCTTTGTGAAGCTTTCATTTACAGTATTTGCAAAATAGCCTTCATGGGATTAACCTGAGCAGTGCTGATTTCAGCCCAGTCAACTGGGCTGAAAAACTCATGAAATACTCATTTTCAGCTTTATCTCATTCTCATTATGTCTTTATCGGGAGGAATTATTGAGTCCTAGAGCTAGCCTGGCTGGGGTCCTGGCAGTGTCTGGCTGATTTCTTTGGTTTTATATGTGTCTGGGCTCGGCAGTAAATGCGGGTGACTCTGATGTGCTGCCCTTCCATTTGTGTGTGACATCTTCTTTCCTCCCTTGTAGGCCCTTGGCTGTGGAATGAACAACAAGTGTGCCAGTGGCTCCTGTGGGCCATCAATGAGTTCAGCCTGATGAACGTAAACCTCCAGCGGTTCGGCATGAATGGCCAGGTGTTGTGCAACCTGGGCAAAGAGCGCTTCCTGGAGTTGGCACCTGACTTTGTGGGCGACATTCTCTGGGAACATCTGGAGCAGATGATCAAAGGTACCAGCCAAATGATTTGCCTCTCCTTTGTCTGGGTGAGCAGTGTCAGGGAGGAGTGATTGGGGTCAGGCAGGCAGATGGGCGTTCTTCATCTTCAAGGTTGACATTGCAAACAGTCAGTGTAAGTTGCTGCAACACACCAGTCCAGTGACTCAGATATGTGATGCTGATTGTAGATTTTGATTCTACTTAATGTGTGTGTGGTATGTAGCCTGTGTGTGTGGTGTGTGCCTACGTGTGTATGTATCAAGTAGAGCCACAAGGCAGTAGCTTTAGTCACTAAATTGTTCACTATTGCCAGACAGCATTCACTGGGAGAGCTTGTTGACTCAGACATAGACATGTAGGCCAACGAGAATCTCCAGGTTTTGTGAGTTCACCTCACAGAGCCAGAAGTAAGTCAGCTTTAATGAAAAGGAGCCTTTACTCAGATAAACTCTGAATTTTATAATGACTTTTCCTGAGCGCAGCTGGAATTCAACCAAGAGAATGTTGTAAGAAGTTTTACATTTTTAAATAAGTTAGTAGTTGATGTTTATTTACACACTGACTTGTTACACAGAAGCCGGCCATTGATCAACAGAAATGTCATCAAATAAGGAGAAAGAACTTAAAAGAGAGTGAGACCAAGAGTAAAAAAACATTGAGTTAGGGGCCGGCAGGTGGCTTAGTGGTTAAAGGTGCTAGATTCCCACGTGGATGACTGCGGTTTGAGTCCTGGACCTGGTGACTTGCTTTCTTGCTTTCTCTGTCTCTCTGTCTCTCTCTGGTCAAATTTAATAATAGTAATAATAAAGTTAAATAAAATAATTCTTTAAACAACAACAAAAAGTTAAGAGAAAAAAGTATGGAACATTTAAGTTAAAAAAAGTGAGAAAATTGGGGACCAACAGGTGGCGTGGTGGTTAAGCTGCCAGACACTCCCACATGGCCAACCATAGTTCGAGTCCCAGACCTGGTGGCTTGCTTTCTCACTTTCTCTCTTTCTGTGTGTCTCTCTGGTCAAATTTAAAATAAATGAATGAATAAATAAAATTAAAGAAAGAAAGGAAGAAAGAAAGAAAGAAAGAAAATCAGCATGTTAGTAGCATTCAGGGAAATATTCTTCACTCACTGTTCTTTTTTTTTTTTTAATAAAGAATTTGCTAAGAAAGAAAGAAAATCAGCATGTTAGTAGCATTCAGGGAAATATTCTTCACTCACTGTTCTTTTTTTTTTAATAAAAAATTTGCTGTAGGTTATGTGTGCTCACCAGAGATAGACAGAGAAAGAGATGGGAGAGAGAAGAGAAAGTAAAAAAGCACTGTCTAGGATAATGGGGGATGGCTATGCTACAATCCACTCTCCTCCATTCTCCTCTTGGGATTTTGGACATGTATGCACATGTGCGTGGCGTGTTTTTCAGGCCGCTTGATCTGGGACTCAAACTGAGCAGTCAGCCATGTGGGATCCAAACATTGACCACCATGCCACCTGACTGCCCCCTCTCTTCTTGATTCAACTGCCATCTCTTTTTTCAGTTATAGCTACTGATGACCAGGGAAGCTGATTTTGAAAGACCCTCAAATTTTCTCAAAATTTGGGCAAGATTCTTATTTGACAAGTTTCTGGTGAATTCATTTATTGTCAAGTTGGTCCTGTTTTGCTGTGACTGAGCTGAGTGGATGTATGTGTCTGGATTTATAGGTGTCTTTGGTTGTGTTAGCTGTAAGTGTGCATGCCCGGAAAGCACACTGGAGACTTTGCCACACTCTGGACAGATTCACCCCACGAAGAACTGTGTCCGTTCTATTAATCTGCTATGTTCCCAGCCACTGCTCCTTGATAAATATTTAACTGTTTCTTAAAATACAGGAATGAAATAAGTACATAGTCTGGATCTTTGAAATTTTGTAATTAAAAAATTTAACTTTGCCAGTGTTGTCATGTGTTCAGAAAACTTAATCTAGTTATTAAAAAAAAAAAAAGTGTTCCTGTCTTTAGTTTTTTGAAAAAGACATATAATGACATGAAGCACCATCCCTTGAAATGTGAGCCCCTCAGTGCATTTAGTCATTCTTCAAATAGTTGTAGAGCAATCATTCAATAAGGAACTTTTTTCTTCTTTAGTTCTTACCTAGATTTGACAGTTTATGTCTCTATGTTTCAGAAAACCAAGAAAAGACAGAAGATCAATATGAAGAAAACTCACACCTCAACTCAGTTTCTCATTGGATTAACAGCAATACATTAGGTCAGTCCAGTTTATCCTATTCTTAGAAACCATGTTTTCAGCCTTCCCTTGACTTGGAGTCTCTCACGGACCTCCACAGTGGCAGTCTAGACTGTGCTGTGCTATGTGTCTTGGCCATGTGCGAGTGCTGAGCCACCATGTAGTTACTTTGTGGCCAGTCCACACTTGAAATGTGTGGTCAGAACATTATGCACACTAAATTTGGAAGCCTTAGGATGAAACAAAGAATGTGAAATAGCTCCTTGATTATTTTTAACACACTGATTATATAGTGAAAATGGCCATTGATTTATCAGAACAAGTCTGAAAATTAATTTCACTCATTTCCTTTTGCATTTTCGTTGTGGCCTCTAGAAAGTTCAAAATCAGTCAGTGCTGGTCCTTGTCATTCCCAGAGAGAAGGTCACAGTGAAGTGAACTGATTAGCATGGGTGCATACTGACCTAGTATACAAAGAAGGGTTGGCAGGCATGAAAAGTGTGTGGAAGCAAGAGCCCATTTACTCTGAATTAGGAATTCAAAGCCTGGGACCTGGTCTTCCCTTCTGGTGGTTGGTACTGGCAGTAGATTGTAGAATATCTGCCCAAGCCAACTGGGGAGGGGTCATCAGAGTCTACGTTTTCATCACTGTCCTTCCCACTGACTCAGGCTCAACCATTCAGATCAGGGAAGGCGAGCCCCTTCCCCGCCCTCAATACCTGCAACACCTGGGGCTCACTGCATGGAAGGGTCCTGTGAACGGGGCATAGCAGGAGAGCTCTGCTCACCTGAGCCAGAGTCAAAGAAGGAGTGCCCTTTCTTTTTCTGGACAGTGAATTTTTCTCTAGTAAGCAGAGGTGGAAGCACCATGATGAAAGAGAAGGGACAGCTCCTCATCAGAACCCATGGCTGCATGTCCTGGCTCTGCTCTGTATGGATTGCATACTGGCACAGACTTCGTCTGAGCCTTGCTGGTCTGGGGAGCTAATAACCAGCAGCCCTGTCATCTAGGGGCTGCTGCCAGAGAAATGTTAATAGTGAGGCACTGGGGTCTGGGATCTGGGGTGGGGTAGCAGTCATAGAAAAGGGTTTATTGGGAACCAGCAGTTAACGTAATGGCTATGTCGCTGGACTCCCACGTAGTCGACCGCAGTTCGTGTCCCGGACCCGGTGGCTTAAAACTCACGCCGGGCGCGTGTGCGTGTGTGCCCAAGATCCCGAGAGGAGAATGGAGGAGAAGGGATTGCGGCGTGACCATCCCCCCTGGGGGGTGATTTCTCGCTTTCTATCTCTATGTCTCTCTCTGTCTGTCTGGCGAGCGCACGCGCCCTACAGTGAAAATCTCTCAAAAAAAAAAAAAGAAAGAAAAGTGTTTATGGTTGAGAAGAGGATGATTGGTTTGACAAGATGACAGATGAATGGCTTATGAAAGCCCAGGCCTCCAACCCGATTCTGTAGGACATACAGAGTAGTCGTGAGTGATTTGCTGTGAGAGGTTAGTTGTGTTATCACTGATTTCCATTGTTCTGTTCCAGGCTTTGGTATGGAGCAGACACCATATGGAATACAGACCCAGAGTTACCCCAAAGGCAACCTCCTGGACAGCATGGCATCCACGGCGCCCAGTGTGCTCAATTCTGAGCAAGAGTTTCAGATGTTCCCAAAGTCTCGGCTCAACACTGTTAGCGTCAACTATTGCTCTGTCAGCCAAGACTTCCCGGGCAGCAACATGAATCTGCTCACCAGCAGTTCTGGTAAGATCAGAAGCATCTTTCAGTAAGGCTGTTGGTTTGATTCCAGGAGTCATAACCAGACAGTATTTGAACTTTTTAATAAATGAGTCCCATGTTTACTGGAGAAGGGGGCCAAAGATTGGTATATGGTCTAAGTGATAGGCAAAAAGCTTACTCTGAATGTGTGTCAGGCCCTGGCCCAGGCGACAGGGCATTGAGTAAGGCAGACACAGTTCCTGCTCCGGTGGTTAGGTTCTTCCACCTGAAGGGATATTTTACAGTGATGATGCAGGAAAGTGACAGGCTTCCTTATACAGAGAGGTAACATGTATCTATAGTCACAGCTCCCAAGTTGCACAGGTGGTTAAATCTGTGCGTGTATATACACCGCGTCACAGTCATCCACATGGAGACGGAAGGTTTTAGCTCTGGAAGTCCTTATTCCCAGAACAAACCATTCAGACTTTTTTTTTTTGAGAGAAAAGAGAACCACTCACCCCTAAATAGGGTCTTCATGCCACCATCCAGTCCCAGCCTCAGCTGATCCGGATCATGTGTGTGTGCGTGTGTGCACCCCAGTATGCTCGGGGATGTCCTGGGACATGAACCCAGGACCTTTACGTTATGGGCCCAGTTGCATTACTGCCTCACCACTGCCTGGCCCCATTCTGACTTTATCATCATGGATTAGTTTTTGCTGTTCTTGAACTTCATGTAGATGGAATCACACAGTATATACATCTTTTTTTGATTTGTCTTTTATTCATCATGTCTGAGATTCATCTGAGTTGTTGGTTATAGCGGCCACTTGTTCTTTTTCATTGCTATATAGCACTCCATGTTACACAGCTATACTTTATGCAATCTGATGTTTATGGAAGATGTGCTTGTATACTGTACTTATCCTAAGAATGGGCACCTGAGTATAAGAGCCTTTTGAAAAGTCTGAATGGTTGGTTCTCACCCAGTGGGTATATGGTTGCATTGGGATTGGTTAGCAAAGATGCCCTGGTCAGGTCTAAGACCAACCTGTGGCCAGTAGCACTGGACCATTTCCGTGTCCTGGTGAAATCAGTATATGCTTGATTGTCTTTGCCAGGGAAGCCGAAAGAGCACGATACTCCTGAGGTGACCATCCCCCCTGGGGGGTGATTTCTCGCTTTCTGTCTCTATGTCTCTCTCTGTCTGTCTGGCGAGCGCACGCGCCCTACAGTGAAAATCTCTCAAAAAAAAAAAAAGAAAGAAAAGTGTTTATGGTTGAGAAGAGGATGATTGGTTTGACAAGATGACAGATGAATGGCTTATGAAAGCCCAGGCCTCCAACCCGATTCTGTAGGACATACAGAGTAGTCGTGAGTGATTTGCTGTGAGAGGTTAGTTGTGTTATCACTGATTTCCATTGTTCTGTTCCAGGCTTTGGTATGGAGCAGACACCATATGGAATACAGACCCAGAGTTACCCCAAAGGCAACCTCCTGGACAGCATGGCATCCACGGCGCCCAGTGTGCTCAATTCTGAGCAAGAGTTTCAGATGTTCCCAAAGTCTCGGCTCAACACTGTTAGCGTCAACTATTGCTCTGTCAGCCAAGACTTCCCGGGCAGCAACATGAATCTGCTCACCAGCAGTTCTGGTAAGATCAGAAGCATCTTTCAGTAAGGCTGTTGGTTTGATTCCAGGAGTCATAACCAGACAGTATTTGAACTTTTTAATAAATGAGTCCCATGTTTACTGGAGAAGGGGGCCAAAGATTGGTATATGGTCTAAGTGATAGGCAAAAAGCTTACTCTGAATGTGTGTCAGGCCCTGGCCCAGGCGACAGGGCATTGAGTAAGGCAGACACAGTTCCTGCTCCGGTGGTTAGGTTCTTCCACCTGAAGGGATATTTTACAGTGATGATGCAGAAAAGTGACAGGCTTCCTTATACAGAGAGGTAACATGTATCTATAGTCACAGCTCCCAAGTTGCACAGGTGGTTAAATCTGTGCGTGTATATACACCGCGTCACAGTCATCCACATGGAGACGGAAGGTTTTAGCTCTGGAAGTCCTTATTCCCAGAACAAACCATTCAGACTTTTTTTTTTTTTGAATTTTTTTTTTTCTTTTGAGAGAAAAGAGAACCACTCACCCCTAAATAGGGTCTTCATGCCACCATCCAGTCCCAGCCTCAGCTGATCCGGATCATGTGTGTGTGCGTGTGTGCACCCCAGTATGCTCGGGGATGTCCTGGGACATGAACCCAGGACCTTTACGTTATGGGCCCAGTTGCATTACTGCCTCACCACTGCCTGGCCCCATTCTGACTTTATCATCATGGATTAGTTTTTGCTGTTCTTGAACTTCATGTAGATGGAATCACACAGTATATACATCTTTTTTTGATTTGTCTTTTATTCATCATGTCTGAGATTCATCTGAGTTGTTGGTTATAGCGGCCACTTGTTCTTTTTCATTGCTATATAGCACTCCATGTTACACAGCTATACTTTATGCAATCTGATGTTTATGGAAGATGTGCTTGTATACTGTACTTATCCTAAGAATGGGCACCTGAGTATAAGAGCCTTTTGAAAAGTCTGAATGGTTGGTTCTACACCAGTGGGTATATGGTTGCATTGGGATTGGTTAGCAAAGATGCCCTGGTCAGGTCTAAGACCAACCTGTGGCCAGTAGCACTGGACCATTTCCGTGTCCTGGTGAAATCAGTATATGCTTGATTGTCTTTGCCAGGGAAGCCGAAAGAGCACGATACTCCTGAGAATGGTGCAGACAGTTTCGAGAGCTCAGACTCACTGCTACAGACCTGGAACAGCCAGTCATCCTTGCTGGATGTGCAGCGGGTACCTTCTTTTGAGAGCTTCGAGGATGAGGGCAGTCAGTCCCTCTGCCTCAATAAACCAACCATGTCTTTCAAGGACTACATTCAAGAGAGGAGTGACCCGGTGGAGCAAGGCAAACCAGTTATACCTGCGGCTGTGCTGGCTGGCTTCACAGGTGAGTGCAGTCCTAGAGCTGGCCATCCGGCTCCTTGGTCACCCCTCTCCCCCTGCTTACCAGGCCATGGTGCTGTGTTTGTCAAGGGTGTTTTCTAGGTGAAGCACACTGTATTTATAGTTTACATTTTATGCTTGGCTAGCAATATCCTTGAATTCTAAACTGGCTAGCCTTGCAGGAATTGGGTGTATGCACAGCTCAATGGAATGGCCGAAGTTGGACAGGCCACTCCCCCCACCTGGCTGTTCTAAAGAGGAGGAGGAGCTGGAAACACTGGCCTTGGGAGTCTTTGGTCCTGACTCACCCACTTCTGGAATCTCAGACTGGCTGAGAGAGAGAGACAGCAGGCTTAGTCTCAAATAATACAGGGGCTGTTTATATTCTCTTCCTGCTAAAATTCAGCTATTCTAATTTTTAAGGTTTGGGTGAGAGCTATTCTAGGCAGGCAGCAAATATTAAAGCTGTTTATAGAATCAGATATTTCTAGTACTTTAGCAAAAATACCAAGGCTTTTTGTTTTCACTGCTTTATATATCCTGAAATGTGTTTTCTTCTTATACTTTGACCATAGAGAGCAATTGTGAATATTTTTTTTCTGTTTTTGCCATTGTGAATTTAAAAAAAGACCGTACTTTTAAATATTCAGTGAGTTAAAGTATAAGGGTAATTAGACATCCATTTTTACTTTCTATTGTCTAAAACAGCCACATAAATGTATTGAAATGCACATGAAGAGTGTGTGGGAATGGTTGTAGTTTTCATACATGGGAGTTCAGGGCCTGATAAGAAAATAAACAATTCTAGTATTACTGTGATTCATTTTATTTATTTTTGTACTTAAAATTTTTATTTTTCTTTAGAGAGATTTTTTTCTATAGGGCACATGCACCTGCCAGAGAGACAGAAAATGAGAGATCACCCCTGATGGCCGCACTGCAATCCCTTCTCTATTCTCCTCTTAGGATTTTGGGCACATGCACACACATGCCCAGCGTGAATTTTAAGCTATTAGATCTGGGACTCTAACCATGGTCAACTACGTGAGAGTCCAGCGACGTAACCATTAGCCATCTGCTCGACCCAGTGTAATTCATTTTAATAGCGGTATTCATTAACATTGGTTGGCTGCTGACTTTGTGTGGTTAACTAGGCATGTGATCTGTAATCCTTCGTACACCCTAGCATGGGTGGTACATAAACTCATTTTACTGGTGAGGAAATTGGCCCAGAGGTTGTTAGCTCCCTGGTATCACACAACTGTGTCTGGCTCCAGAATGCCTGTCCTTTATGCTGTTGAGTGAAGCCTCACTGATGAAGAGCCATCGTGTTTCAGGGAAAGCTGTTAGGTGAAAAGAGGTTGGGCTAAGGGTCTGCGTGTCTAAACTTTTCATAGTGATACATAGAATGAGGAGAGGGTACCCAGCCCTAATTCTTCATCTTTAAAATAGGGCTGCAGTGATCCTTGCTTCACAAGGTGGCA